CGTTTTACCCTTGTAGTCCAGGCTGGAGTGCAATGGCATGATCTTGGCTCACTGCAACCTCCGCCTTCCAGGTTCAAGAGATTCCCCTGCCTCAGTCTCCCGAGTAACTGAGATTACAGGCGCCTGCTGCCATGCCCTGCTAATTTTTGTATTTTAGAGGAGATGGGGTTTTGCCATGTTAACAGACTGGTCTCGAACTCCTGATCTCATGTGATCTGCCCGTCTTGGCCTCCCAAAATGCTGGGATTACAGGCGTGAGCCACTGAGCCCAGCCGAACACGCTGTTTTAAGTGCTAAGTACATAGTGGACCTGTGATGGCCACTGGCTCTTTGCACCTTCAGTTTACAGAATTCCTAAATGTAACTTTTTACAATTTTGTTATGGAAAAATGTATACATATGCAAAAGTAGTGTGAACAATATAATAAACCCCCATGTACCCACTGTTCTGCTTCAACAAGGATCAGCTCATGGCTTCTCTTGGGTCACAGTGCAAATATGCATCCTTCAACTTTTCAGTAGGTATCACTCAAATATAAGAACTTTTTCTTAGGCCCCCCCACCCCCCATTTTTTTCTTTTAAGCAGTGCCCCTACAGTAGGCCTTCCCAGAGGTCTGGCCTGCAGAATCAAAAATTGCACAGAGGGGCAGGAGAGGCCCAAACTCCAGCTGGGCTCCCCCTGCAGACTCCACCCAGGCTGGCTGGTGCCATGGCTGCTGGGATGGCAAAGCTGCAGACCTTTCGCTACTGAGTTACAAGATCAGTTCCACTTATTGAGCGGCAGGAAGGGTCAAGGGTGAAAACTGAGGAAGAACAGATTTGGGGCTATTCTTTATGAAGAACCACACTTCTCAAGAATGGTCCAATGCCTAACATTTTCTCACTTCCTGCTCATTCCTCAACCATCTCCAATCTGCTCCTGCCCCCAGCATTCCACTGAGTAAATTTAAAATTAGTGTCACCAAGATCTCTGTGATGCTAAATCCAATGGGTGTTTCCCAGACCTCACTTGGTACCATTCCATCCTACCTGAGGCACTCTCCCCTGGCATCTGGGACACCACGCTCCCCTCGCTCTCCTCCTGCCCTCAGCCTACTCATTTCTGTTTTCTTGTCTGTCTCATCTCTCCCTACTTGGCCATTAAATATCAGAATTTCTTTTTTTTTTTTTGGAGACGGAGTTTCGCTCTTGTTACCCAGGCTGGAGTGCAATGGCGCGATCTCGGCTCACCACAACCTCCGCCTCCTGGGTTCAGGCAATTCTCCTGCCTCAGCCTCCTGACTAGCTGGGATTACAGGCACGCGCCACCATGTCCAGCTGATTTTTTGTAGTTTTAGTAGAGACGGGGTTTCACCATGTTGACCAGGATGGTCTCGATCTCTTGACCTCGTGATCCACCCGCCTCGGCCTCCCAAAGTGCTGGGATTACAGGCGTGAGCCACCGCGCCCGGCCCAGAATTTCTTAAAGATTAAGAGTAGACCTGCTTTGGACACTTCATGAGCCACGTCCTAGGACCATGACTTCAACTAGCATATGCCAATGACTTACACATTTATGTCGACAGGCCAAACTTTGCCTCTGGCCTTAGAATTTCATACGTAATTGCCTCCTTGCCAGCTTCAGTCAGATGTCTTGTCTAAGGCTGAACCCAACCCCAGCCTCAGTGTTTCTTATCTCAGTAAATGGTACCACCATCCCCTTAATTAGATACCAGGAATACCTCCTCTCTTCCTATTCCCCCAAATCTAACCCATCATCACATCTTATTAACCTCCTCCGCCTCTCTTCACGTGCACTGCCATCATCCAGGGCCAGGCTACTATGAGATCTTATCTGGACTCATAAAGTATCTTCTAATTCATTTTTCTGTTTCTCTTCTGTTCAGCTAGAACAGTGTTTTCAGAATGTAGCTTAGATCACCAACGATGGCTCAAAATCCTTCAATAGCTTTCTATTGCTCTAGGCAAAACAAAACAAAACAAAACAAAACAAAACAAAACAAACAAAAAAACACAAAACAATCCCATCAATCACAGAGGCCTCCTCCCCAGACGCTACAGCCCAGCCTCATCTTGTGTCACTGTTCTTCTCTGTGCTCTGCCCCTGGGCCTTCTTTTAGCCCATCGACAACATCATGCTCCCTCCACAGTGCTGTCCCTTCTTCCAGAAATGCTCCTCCCTCAACTCCAAGTCCTATTCATTATTATTTTTTTTTTAGACAAGGTTTCACTCCTGTCATCCAGGCTGGAGTGCAGTGGCACAATCATGGCTTACTGCTCACTGTAACCTCCTCCTCCCAGGCTCAAGCGATCCTCCTGCCTCAGCTTCCCACAGGTGCACACTACCACATTCGGTTAATTTTTGTATGTTTTGCAGCGATGGGGGTTTCACCGTGTTGCCCAGGCTGGGTCTTGAATTCCTAAGCACAAGCAATCCTACTGCCTTGGCCTCTCAAAGTGCTGGGATTGCAGGTGTGAGCCACCACACTTGGCCTTATTCATTCTTCAGATGTCAATTTCTCCAGGGCCGTCTTCTCCCACCCCCAGTCCAGGCCCCTCTCTTCCCTGCTATGCTCTAGGAGATGCAAGAGCCTTTCCTTCAAGGCATTTAATTCAGTTTGTCCATACACTCACGGAGGGAGTTATTTGATCAATGTTTGTCTCCTTGTACACTGCAAGCTCCAATTTCATCACCATTACAGTTTCAGAGTCTAGTGTAGTGCTCGCCACATAGTAGGAACTGAATGTTTACATGGTAGACAAGGGCAAAGAGCCCAAAAGCAAAGCAAAGAATAATAAATGAGCAATTCACAGAAAACCAAGTACAAGTACCCACTAAGCAAATGAACAAATGCTCTGCCTTATGTATAATTCAAGAAATGAAAATCAAAGCCACAGTGGGATCATCCTGACCCTCCAAATTAGCAAACATTAAAAAAATTAATATAGCAAGTATTGCCAGGTGGGTAAGCAAGCAAGTGTCCATGACATTGCTGGTGGGAATATAAACAGACTCAATCATATTGCAGGACAATTAGATTACATTGCTAAAATTTTAAATGCCCATACACTTTGATCCAAGAACTCTACTTCTAGGAAACTCCTTGAGAGAGATACTTCTGTAAGTTTACAAAAATATTTGTAACAAGAATATTATCTGCCGATTTTTTAAATAGAGAAAAAAAACTTACCTAAATGTCCATCCATAGAACATTGTTTAAGTAGATTGTAACACTGGCTGTTCATACAATGCAATACCAAGTGACCCAAAAAAGAACGAGCTAGTCTGTGTGAGTGGGTATGGAAAGAATTCCGTGATACATTTTTGAAGGAAACAAAAATTCAGAAGAGTATGTTTGGTATAATACTGTTTGTGGATACTTTTAAATAAAGGCATAGACATAAAATACATAC